ATTGATATAATACTTTAATATAATAATTCCGAATGAAGGCACAAAAATTCCAAATTTGGAAAGACCATTTTTACCCAGCTGGCAGCTATTTTTATGAGTAACTGTGAACTTTTTTCCAAACTCGAATATATATTTAAATAATATAGAGATGAGGAAATTGATATCATATTTCAGTATGATGATTCCGAATAAAGGCACAAAAATTCGAAATTTGGTAAGTTAATTTTTATCCAAGCTGGTAGCTATTTTTATATAAAGTAGAGTAAGAGTAACGGTGCATGTGTTTTCAATAGTTATTGATTAATAATAAAAGAAAAATATTTACTTTATGTTGATTTGACTCAGAGCAAATAACAGATTGATAAACGTTTAAAAATAGTAAAAATTATGAAATATTTAATAAAATAATAAGATACGAATAATATTAATCATAATAATGATAACACAGGTCCTCAAGCTTAAAATATGCGTCTGTGTTGGATGTGCGGCATATGTTTTCTAATTCATGTAAAGTCAAAATTGCGGGTCAGATGGCAAACATTGCAAAAAAAAAAATAAAAGAACGAGGCAAAATCTCCGATCTTGTAATTCTTCTGCAATTGAATCAAAATTTTATAATTTCTGTCGTTTCTTGACCTTTTTACCAACTATTGATATCTTTATCGATTAGATATGGATTGAACTTTTCAATTAAATTGTCTATAAATTTTTTTTTATAGATTTCAGCAGTAATTGGCAAAAGAATTTTCTCCACATTGCCTCTGGGTAATCTGCAACTATGTTTGCAATTTGAAAATCTGAAAATGTTTTGGCAAAATACAGTCTTATTCTTAAAAAAATTTCTTAGATCATTTAAGTGAATAGTCAATTGAGCTAGAAAAGGAAACGACAAAAATTATAAGATTTTAAGTAACTAGAAATTATTTTTTTTAATTACTTATTCTTCCCTTAAATTACTTTCTTCTTATGTACTAGATCAGAGATTTTTTTTTGTCACTTGACCCTTTAGATTCGTGTTCAGCGGTAAAAGCTACATATGTCGCACAACCAATACAAACAACTTTTGGTTTGTGGACTTGTGTAATTATATAGAATATTAGTGATGATAAATAAGCATTATCAATAAATTATTTGGATACATTTTCCGTGACAAAATAAACGGGTTTCTAAAATACTTTGTATGCCGATTAGTTGAAATATCATCAATCGGTTCTTGTATTTTTAGAGTTAATTTCATTTCCTCATTTGGAGACAGTTACAAACGTGTCCAATTTACCCTGTTTTTCAGTACTCATGTACAGCAATACTACCAATGACATCAAATATTCATTAAATCCTATTCCGATAATACTCACAATTTTCATGTAATTAATTAAACTGTACCCATGGGGCCACGTGTCTTGCGCATCACAGGACAGCGGCTGAATATCAATTTGTTGACTCGTGTCCAAGTCGTGAAGGGCTTTTGCAAACAGCAAAACAGCATCGTACATTAACGCAGTTTCCGCCTGCAAAAATAGGTTCCATGTCGAACAATATTTACCAATTTGATATATATATGGGTGAAATACAATTTAGGAAAAACATATTGGACTTACCTTGATCACTGTCGAGTTTTCCTAAAACAAATAAAAAATATTTTAGAGAATATTTAATTGTGACGAGAATTAGGACATGTAATATATAGAAACTAGTGGGCTTCGTGCCTTAAGGCAAATTGCTGGAACTTCTCGTACCGTAATTAAAAATCTTGGTACGAAACCCAAAAAAAATTACACAAAATGTGTACACATTATTAAAATCTCTATAAAATTTCTGATAATTTGATGTACATATATCCAAACATTTTTGACCGCTAAATGACATTTTTCTAATTTATTTTCATTGAGAGTCTATAACCGCTGGACTTGCCTTACCAAAAATTTAATCAGTTCTTCATCTTGTCAATATAAGTAAAATGTTTTTTGAATTATTAAAATCGGACGCAAAAATGAGTTACCGTTTGCAGTACTTTTTGCCCTGTATCTTTGAAACGGCTAGACCTGCCTATGCCAAAAACTAATCAGCACGTCTCCTTATCAACAGCAATCGAATTTTTTCAGAATAATCGAAATTGGTTGAACCGTGTTCCCGAAATCGTCGATGGAAATTTATATCCGCACACACACACACGTACACACACATCTTTTTTTCTGAGATATGCCAAAATGTTCACAAACTTTCAGAACGTGAAATTATGCAAAGATCTTCATTCTTGATTTTTGGCCTACTACTATAACTTACCCAACTGGAAGTTATTAATTACTCACTAAAGAGAATATATAGTCATTTTGTAATTCATTATACTTTGATTTATTTTTTCTATAATATTAGGTTGTCAAATATCTCCCTTCCGCTTTTTTGCTCTCGGTTTATAATACAAAAAGGCGGAAGGGAGATATTTGACAACCTTTTCAAAAACCTATAATTTCAAAAGCTTCTAAAGTGCCACAAGCGACCTTTAGAAACAATATTATTATGTATATTAGCTAACTAAATTTAGCTTATTGACTTCCCGTAGAGTAAGTTGTAGTAATTGTCCAAGAATTCAATACAAAGTGTTTGCATATCTTTACATTTCAGAAGTTTCTGAATATTTTGGCATACCTTAGACAAAAATTATGAATGTGTGTGACTGATATCGATAAAGAGACGTGAAAAGTAGTTTTTGGAAAAGGTTGGTCCAGCCATTTCGAAGATACGAAGCAAAAAATGCAAAAACGCGATCAAGTTTTTGAAAGGTTTTGAATTTTTTTTGTAAAGACAGGTTCACCGCTTTCGGATATTCAAAAAAAAGGTAAAACACTGCCATTTGGGGTCGAAAGTCATATATTTTCGACAGTATGGATCAATCGAGATGAATGGGTATCAAAAACTTTCAAGAAATTTCAAAATTTTCAAACTTCAAATACAAAAACAAGAAATTTTATTTGTCCAAAAATACTAACTTTAAAAGAAATTTAGTGAAAAATTCAGAATTTTCAAAAAAATCTTATTTTTCTTTGAAATTAAAAAAAATCAAGTTACTGTACTCAAAATTCACGTAATTTGCCTTAAAGCACGATACCATGTACTATAGTTATTAATAATATTAATGTTATCACTTTTTAAAAATTGAAATAAATATATATCATCAATCAAACATGCATTTATCAACAAATATTATTTATTATTGTCTATTATTTTATTGAATAATGCAATATTTTTGTAAGAATTGAATGTGTGATTCTTGAAGTTTTTGAACTTGTGAATTATGAATCATAAGTAAAAAATTTCCGTCAATTTATTTGAATGATCAAATTCAAATATTCAAAATAATATGAGAGTTTTTAGAAAATTATTTAAAATCCATACGTTTCGGCTAGCATCTTAGCCTTCATACAGTGGCAATCAATTTAACTATATAAATTAAAACTATATAAATAATATGTGAGAAATTTCACAAAAAATAATGATAGTAATAATAATAATAATAATAATAATAATAATAATAATAATAATAAAACACATACAATTTTGTATCCTAATATAACATATGAAATCGTTATGGTATGAGTATGTGGAATATAAAATTTGATTCCATTAAGAATAAGTATTTGTTTTATCAGCGTTTTAACTTTAATAGGTACTAAATAATTATATTAATGAAAGCAATATATATATAATCTGATATTGATAAAAAACAATCCAATCATTCCAAAATATATAAAACATCGGTGTCCAAATAATAATATTGCAACTGTAATAATTTCACGCTAATCTGCTTTTTGTATTGAACGGATTTGAAACATGATAAAACAATGTATCGAGTGATAAAAAAATAATAAATACCGATATAGGAAGATTTAATATAAATTGATTTGTAAATTGGTTTATAAATTGAATTATTACCCGTGTCACAAATGCAGCTGCGTCCAACCTTCTTCCGAGCCTTTGCTCTCCTTGTATCCATTCTCTGACTGCTTTTTGGACGTCTGGTTTTTCTGGATCTACCAGTCTTAAGGCGGTGATGTTGGTGCCACCGTATTTGAATTCTTCTAAATCTACTGAGTGGATATCCTGAAAAAAAAAAAGTTCAATTTTATACCAATTCGCTATTCAGTTTTATTTTAAGTAGGGGGAAGTCCCGTAACGCCAGACCGCACCTAATACCGGACACTCTATTTAACACGTATTATTTAAGCGAGTATAAATCTTTTTATATCAGAATATAAGTGAAAGGGGCGCGGGGTGCACACAGGTGCAGGATCACCCGCCAAGACTCTCCTGTGACGCACTCGGTCCCGGCGGCAGCAATTCTTTGCTGTTTTAGGCGCAAAATCACGGCGTCACCTAAATATCAATGGAAGTAATTCTAGTGTAAATATGCATTTATATTTGAGTGGCATTCAATGATAAAAGTAGTACTTGATTGTTATCCGTAAAATGGTAGAATATTATTAGATAATTTAAACAATTTTAGTAGGTACCCCCAAATAAACAAACATGTCTGTCCCTTGGCATCGGACACTAAGTCGTCCCTTAGCGCCGAACACTAAATATATTGACATTTCTTGTGAGAGTTAACGGTCATTACATATCTAGATTTTTCGTATTTCCGAGTCAAAGAATGAAAATCTTATGATGAATGGTCCAGCTGAGAGCATCGGTGTGGTCCAGCCAAAAGGGTGGATGAGTAGTGATTTTTTTTGCAATATATAAGAATATTCGTCAAAGACACATGTGCAGACATTCCAGAGTGTGGAGATGGCTACATATGTGATCAATGCAGGTTATTTTGAAATGTCCGGTAATAGGTGCCACTGTTTAAAAACATATTTTTTTATATCAAAGTTTGATCGATAGTATTAATTATTTTTTAGCAAAGATTGCGGTTTGTCAATTTAGTTTGATTTCTAACTTTTTTATCCAACATAAATCATCATTTAATAAACATTTCGTAAAATATTTTTGATTTATTTATAAATAACCTTAGGTGTCCGCTACTAGGGGACTTCCCCCTATATTCATTATTTCATAGGAACAGATAATAAAAAAAATCATTAAGGAATCTCTTTTTAATATAAACTTAATGTTTTTTAACTTTTAAAGAACATGTTTTATGAAAAAGCATATTTTCATTTTAAGTGTAAATACTAAATTATATAAAATTATATTACGAAAAATACTCATTCAATTTGAAAACTTCTAATTATCTCTGACAATATAAGGTCCTTATAGTATCAGTCAGTCAGTACTAATAATAATCTATTTAAAAAGATTTATTATTTATTGAAAATTTTATTACGATACGGAAAAATTCAGAAATTTTCAGGCACCACTAGTCAAGTATTCATGATAAAAAATCATTAGTGTCGTATTTAAATTATAATTACTAAAAAAATTAATATATTGACTCACTTTACGTAGTTTTTATTTATTAGTAAAAACTCTATCTTAAAAAATATAATCGGATAAAATGAAAGTATCAAACAGTTTTCAATTAAATTTTTTCTTATAATTGATAGAAATTATACTGCGAAGCTGATTTGAAGCACTTTGCAATTTCATAAAAAGTTAAAATTTATACGAAATAGTGTTTATTATCATCAAAATCATAGTCCAATTCCTCGAAGTTTGCATCAAACAAGTTTTTGTTTTACCAAATCTATATTTGCATAGGATTCTAAGTGGAAAAGTTCTACTTGCATCTGTACGTATATTTTTTCTCTCTTAAGTAATATTTATGGTTCCGTTTAAACTTTATGTAAATCCAGGTAATTAATTTAAAATTAAAATTGAGATACGCTATGACGAATACGAAATTTCACAGTAGCATAGATAAGGAACGCATTAGCAAACTATGCACGAACGTAGCTACTATCATTTTGCGAAACTGCCTTACAACAAGGACACTCGAATAGTTCTAAGATAGTCACTACATATATATGGCTATCAGATTTAAGCACTTTGAATACACCAACTTAGAGATGCCAAAATGTAATTGAAATAATTCGATATTTTTTATTTTATTCGATATTATATACAAGTTTGATATTATATACAAGCTCTTTAAACTATATTGGTTCAATATTCTCAATTCTAGGCAATATTTAAATAATTATCTAAATAAGATAAAAACTAGCTTTGTCAAGCATTACTGTGTTAAACATATAAATGCGTTTCTTTTACATCTACTTATTAATTTGGAAAATAGTTCACATTCTTTCGCGAAGCTGAAGTACAGGCACCTTGGAGTAAAATATCACATTCAGTATTGCGATATATAATATAGGCTTACATGCATATGAGTATTTTAAAACTTTCCGTAATTATACTGTGAAAATCAAACAACATGCACATATAATAGCTCTAACCGTTCGCGAAATATTTGCTAAAAATAATTTTTTACTTTTTTCATATTTAAAATGCGTTTATCTCGAAAACTATTTGAAGTCGATCGAAATTTTTAATAGCATTTTTCTAAGGCCATAAGGAACCAACGTTGTGAAAATGATCAAAACCGGCAACAAAAAATTTTCATCCAAAATCGCAAAATAGCACATGACCAGTGGTCATGGTATGATTTCAGTTTTTTTTATTTATTCGGCACACATAACATATATCAAGCAGTGAACTATTAAAAAATGTTAAAAAAATTGTTAGTTATTGTCTAAAATAATCTAATAATATCCAGCCAATATAAAGTTTTGGGTCTTATTTTTTACTGTACTTCAATTTACATAAAAATTTAGAATTAGTTCCATCTTGCCCTTAAGTTCAAAAGTGAATTTAAGATCAGTTTTGACTCCACTGCCCTCTGCGGGATAATACCCATTCTCAATGGAGTAATTTTTATTTTCAAAATAACGCCGGATATATCTATATAAAGACTAATTTTAGGTGAAAATGTTTTATAAAGTTTAAAAAAAAAACGAATTATATTCAGGTTACTGGCTCTTAAAATATTGTTTTTTTGGCGTTTATCTAAGAATGTAAAAATTAGTTAAATAGAGATATTTAAAAAGTAACTAACTTATTTATAGATCATAATATGTTTTTTTTTAACTTCCCGAAGGGGATGTTTCTGTTTTCATCAAAAAATCCGATTCACTAATTTTATGTTTTCTCGACGTTTTGAAGCCATTCTGAATCGAATGAGACCAAATTTGGAAAAAGTATGTGTGTGTGTGTGAACAGATTTTTTGCCGTAAATCGACGTTTGCTCAAAAACGGCTGGACCGATTTCAGAAATTTAAAAACCATTTGATGTATCTCGACGAGGATTAGCGTTCCTCAGTTTTGTGCAACGATCGGCTGAGGCGTTTCTTTGTAATTTGGTAAAAACCTTAAACTTTTTGTCTATATTTAAGCTTATACTACCGAATCGATTTTAAAAAATCAAAAAATGTTTGAAAGATATTAGTTGGGAACGTTGAAAAAAATTTAAGTCGATTTTTATGGAACTTACTGAAATATTACGGCCATACGACAAGTAATTTAATTTTAAAAATTTATCAATGTTTGAGAAAATGAGTAGTATTTTTGACGTTTGCTAAAATTAAAATTAGACGATTTACTTGGAATAACGATGGAGTACTTGGTCTTAATGAACATACTGAACCCTTAAAGTCCTACGGAAACTGGTTCAATTATAAAAGTTGTTGATTTTTGAAATTTTGATCCAAGAAAATAGTCCGAGTTAACGTGTTTGTTCGTTTTCAATGATGTGTAAGAAATCCACTCGGAATACTTTAACCACTCATAAATTAGTTTATTTTTTATTGATTAAGTCGAGTATTTACACATATCGGGAAGTTAATGTAACTTGCCTCAAGGCAAAATACCAATATCAACTAGTTAATTAGTCAAATATTCATATTTATATATATAGAGATGTATTTGCATACATATCATTATAACTTAACATTAATATATTTTTATAGAGCATGACTGAAATCGTTCGAAGAATGCTCCTATATGTGTGATATTTATGGAATCGGTAGTAATATTATTCGTAATTTATTTTATATATATTTTTTACAGAATAAAATTATCATATTCAAAGAAAAAAAGATCAATTATAATATAACATTTTGTTCAATGTGAACAAAATTTAAAACAAGATCTAAATGACATTTTGCCTTATAAGAAGTAGCATAAGGTGAATTTGGCGTTGATATTTCTAAATAATTTAAGACTTAAGAATGAAAAAATTGAGAATTAATAGCAACTACAATTTTAAAATTGTGAATATAAAATTTTCAACAGTTTATATTCAAAACAACCTTCATTATTCCTAGTTTTTAAATCTTGTAAACTTTCAATTAAATTTTCGTATAATATACTATAATATTTAAGGACATTGTTAAAGATCATGAAGGCTGTCGGTATTCAATGTTAAATTAAATTCGTCATAAAAAATTTCTCAATAATTATTTAGAAATCTAGTGCCGCACCAATTTTTACTTAAAATCAGTAGATACGATTCCTTACTGATTTTTCAAATAGATTTGGACTTTTCAAAATCTGTTCAGAATTGATGAATTATTCTTTTATGTATACTACAAACTGTTATTCCTTCTTTATAATTTCTTTTTTAATAATGTATATCTATTTCATGATATAATATTGCTCTGTATGTATTTTGGAATATGAATATATTTCTAATGATGAATTACAACGCAAACGCAACAGTGACAAATGTCAGTAATTATTATGTTATTTCGTAAACTAACTATAGCTAACTATAACTAACTAATTTGTAACTAATATACGACAAATGTAATATATGAATTTATGCGATATGCGAAATGAACATACATTATGACTAATATATATAGTCCTAAATGAGCCCAAAATGGTAATTCAGTTTTTGAGACAACAGAACGTCCGATTTTAATAATTCACAAATTATTTTTTTCGTATTGACAAAATTAAGTACCGTTTAATTTTTTGCGAAGACATGTATAGCGGTTTAAGACATCGATTGAAAAAAGTAAAAAAAAGCCATTTGGCAGTCAAAAATGCTAATTAGGCATATGCACATCAAAATTTTCAGAAAAATTCAAAGTTCAAAA